CACCAAGAAGACAGAGCATCACTTGCCCTAGACTGAGAGTTCCTATCTATACCTTGTGGCTAATAGCCACTGATGGACCTCTGCTCCAGATGTTTATCCCATTCCCTCTTGAAGCCGTCCATGCTTGTAGCCGCCACCACCTCCTGTGGCAGTGAATTCCAAGTGTTAATCACTCTTTGGGTGAAGAAGGACTTCCTTTTATCTGTTCTAACCCGACAGCTGAGCAATTGCATTGAGTGCTCACGGGTTCTTGTTGCGGTGCCCTCCCCCTCCTGCCCCATTTCAGCTATCCGGGAGGGAGTAGAACAATACTCTCCCGCTGTTCTGTAAAAGCTAGTGGCACCAATCCATTTAGAAAGACTGTGGAAGAGTTGAGCCTTCCTTCCTTCCTTCCTTCCTTCCTTCCTTCCTTCCTTCCTTCCTTCCTTCCTTCCTTCCTTCCTTCCTTCTCCTCCTCCTAGCAGGGAGTGGGAGATCACAGGGAACTTTGGGATGATGTCCCAGACTCAATGCTCCCTCTAAGCTGTGGACTCTTGTGAGCAAAAGTTCTACTTTGTGAGCTCCTGGTAGACGGTTTAGTACAAGATATTCTCTCCTGCATCGCTTCCTCCATGATGGCTGGGCACTGTGAGTGTGTGTGAAGTGCCGTCAAGTTGCTTCTGGCTTAAGTTGACCCTGTGAATCAGTGTTCTCCAGAACGTCCATCTCTTTAACAGCCTTGCTCAGGTCTTGCAAACTGAGGACTGTGGCTTCCTTTATTGAGTCACTCCAGTTTGGTGTCGTGGTTAAGTGTGCGGACTGTAATCTGGGAGAACCGGGTTTGATTCCCCACTCCTCCACTCGCAGCTGCCGGATGACCTTGGGCAAGCCATAGTTCTGTCAGAGCTGTCCTTGGAAAAGAGCAGATCTGTCAAGAGCTCTCTCAGCCCCACCTACCTCACAGGGTGTCTGTTGTGGGGAGGGGGAGGGAAAGGGGTTTGTAAGCCGCTTTGAGACTCCTTCGGGTAGTGAAGGGCAGGGTATAAATCCACTCTCTTCTTCATTTCAGGCTGGGTCTTCTTCTTTTCCTGCTCCTGCCACTTTTCCTAGCATTAACTGTCTTTTTTCCAGTGAGTGGCTTTCTCATAATGTGAACGAAGTACGATAGCCTCAGTTTGATCATCTAGCTTCTAGGGAGAATCAGGTTTGATTTGATTGGGCACTAGATCAATTTGATTGGGCACTAGATCGACTCAATCTGCCATTCGCCAGTGAGGCCCTTTGCTGGACTCTGGGCCTCAGCAAGAAGAAGAGGAGGAGGAGGAGGCCAAAACACCAGGTGCCATCAGGAGGTGCAGCAGTGGGGCCAGGACACTAGAAGCCCTCCCACTGTTCCCCCCCCCCAAGCACCAAGAATACAGAGGAGGAGGGGGAGGAGGAGGAGATTGGATTTATACCCCACCCTTCACTACCCAAAAGAGTCTCAGAGCGGCTTACAAACTCCTTTCCCTTCCCCTCCCCACCACAGGCGCCCTTTGGAGATAGGTGGGGCTGGGAGAGCTCTTTCCAGAACTGTCCTTGAGAGAACAGTTCTGACAGAACTACGGCTTGCCCAAGGTCATCCAGCAGCTGCAAGTGGAGGAGTGGGGAATCAAGCCCGGTTCTCCTAGATTAGAGACGTAACCACTTAACCACTACACTAAACTGGCAAGCGCCCGGGCCATGCTAATTCTTGACACCAGCCCTCTGTGAATCACAAGCTTTGCTCTATCAGCGCCCAGGTTCAGTGCCTGCCGCCTGAGCTTAAAAGGTTTCCTAGCTGGGAAAGAACCCTGCTTAAGACCACCCCCCACCACCCCAAGGTTTTTAAGCAGAGGCTAGGTGGCCATCTGTTAGCAATGCAGATTCTGTGAACTCAGGCAGATCACGAGAAGGGAGGGTAGGCAGGGTTGCATCAGTGCTTAGTTCTCGGGGCCCTTTCTTACACGCCCAGAGAAATGCTGATTGCCACTTTGGGGTCAGGAAGCAATGAAGCCAGTTTGGCCAGGGATCCTGGAGGTTTTTTGCCTTCTTCTGGGCATGGAGCAGGGGTCCCGGGGTGTGTGTGGAGGGGAGATAGTTGTGAATCTTCTGCATTGTGCAGTGGGTTGGACTAGATGACCGTGGATGTCCCTTCCAACTCTTTGATTCTGTGATTCTAAGAGTGACAGCCATTCAGGGTACACCGGTGATATTTTGTCCATGGAACACCATCTGTAGGGTTAGAAGCCTCTCTTTTTTGTCGTTATTGCTTTTGGGGAGGAATTCCTGCTAGCACATGGACACGGATCCTTGCCATGTTTGTTGGCGTTGACTTTCTTTGCGCCGTCTAAATACCTGCTACATCTGTTGGCGCGCTAGAATAATCCGAGCTTAAGCCAGAAGCTGGGCTTTCGGTCTCCAGCCAGGGTCGTTCTCTTGGCCTCTGGTGGTAAATGCTGATCTCTTTTTTTGCCTGCAAACAGAAGATTTCTTTTGGCTTATAGTTGGGGTGGTGGTGGTGACTGAGTCTTAAAATCTTAATCGGAACAATTACCGCACAAGTGTCCTCAGCCGAGCTTCACCTCTCAGCGGCTTTAAATCCTCGCTTTGAATTAAACAGACGCGCACAAATCCTTAATTGATTTCAGTGAATCTAATACGCAGCCCTTTTAGTATTTCTTTATATCAGTCGAGGGGCTGATTCTTCCCCTCATTTCCAAAATCAGGGATGCATCTGAAATTTCCCTCCTCTGAAAATTTCCCAGGATGATGAGGATGACGAGGATCATCATAAATATTAATTATCACAGTCAGATATTTGACTGGTAGGTGGTGCTCTACAATTTGAGATCTAGCTAAGTTCTTGGGAACTGCGGATGTATTTTCTTGGGATTCTTGCTGTTCCAAGCAACACTATCTTCTGGAGCAGAGCTGGTGTTACTTGCTCAGTCCCAAGAATGCCCAGGTGTTTCTTGAGACTTCTAGGCACTGCTCTAAGGGCTCCAGTGACAACTTCTTCTCCCAAAGGTTCTCTAACTCTATTCATAGGTCTTGGTATTTTGTGATCTTCTCCTGTTCTTTCTTTTCTGTTCTTCTGTCTCCTGGGATTGCGGGGTCAATGATCCAGACCCTATTTCTCATCCCCCCCCCCCTACAACTGTGATAGCAGGGGTGTTATGCTCCAGGTGTTTATCTGTTTGCAATCGGAAGTCCCGAGGAAACTTGGTTTCGTCATTCTCTATGATCTTGTCTGGTTTGTGCTCCCATGAATTTCTGGCCGATGGTAACCTGTACTTCTTGCAAAGATTCCAAGTCATTTCTGGAGAGGAAGTGATGTAATTAGAACACCTTGTTGTTTGGGGTTTCTCGGTTGTTGTCTTTTTACAAATTTAGACAGGACACCTGGATACGGTTTGCTTCAGCTGCCCCTTCGTTTCTGTGCCTGTTCCTTTCTCCACATGACCCCAGGACCATGTGTATTAATATTACACTTAGCAAAAATACCTTGATGCATTCCCATGTACAGTAGATCCTTTTTCTGGTGTACGGTTTTACCAGCTCACAGGGATTGGGTAATGGTAAAACTTTACACAAGAACAAAGTTTGAGTCCAGTGGTCTTAAAGGTGCCACTGGACTCAAACTTTGTTCTGTTGCTTCAGACCAACACAGCTACCCACCTGACTCTATTACATAAGATCATAAGAGAAGCCATGTTGGATTAGGCCAATGGCCCATCCAGTCCCAACACTCCGTGTCACACAGTGGCCAAAACCCAGATGCCATCAGGAGGTCCACCGGTGGGGCCAGACCGCCAGATGCCTCCCCCTGTTGCCCCCCAAGCACCGAGAATGCAGAGCATCACTGCCCCAGACATAAGAACGCAAGAGAAGCTGTGCTGGATCAGGCCAATGGCCCATCCAGTCCAACACACTGTGTCACTCAGTGCCCAAAACCCAGATGCCATCAGGAGGTCCAGCACTGGGGCCAGGACACTAGAAGCCCTCCCACTGTTGCCCCCCCCAAGCACCAAGAATGCAGGATACAAGGGCCCCACTGCCTCCTTGGCTGTTATGCTGCTTCTAATGTATTTGAAGAAAATCGTATTGTTGGTCTGTATGTTTTTTGCAGTATGTTCCTTGGTTCAATGTGTGAGTGATTTTTTTTTTGCACATGTATGGAAGGAGAGATGCAAATGAACCAAGTTTACAGTGACTGTAATTCCCCATGAAGATAGTTCCAGAGGGTGGCTGTGCTGCAGTAGAGGCACACTGGATTCGAGTTTCAGGGTGAGAACTTTTGAGAGCCAAAGCCTTAAACCCAAAAACTCTCATTGGTCTCTTGAGGTGCTTCTGGACTCAAATCAACTGTAATTCTCCAGTGTAGCCCCGAATTCCAAGGGGACCCCCTTATGTTATGCACAAGAAAAGTCCTTTCCATTTTGGCATACGTTTGGCCTCCTGTTTAACTCCGTGCTCGCTGCTGATAAACACTTGGGCTGTCTTCTGAGAAGATGGAATTAATGCCCGAGATAATTTCTGCTTCCCGATACTGAGGACCAGGGCTATTTTTGGGCAGGAACGCACAGGAACGGAGTTCCGGCTGGCTCCCGAGTTGGCCTCGCCCAGCAGGAACTCATTAGCATAATAGGCCATGCCCAACAGCAGAAACTCATTAGGATTGGCTACTTTAGGGGTGTGTGGCCTAACATGCAAAGGAGTTCCTGCTACAAAAAAAGCCCTGGGTTTTGACAACAAACAAGGTAAACAGAATAAGAAGCAAAAGGTGGGTGTGGCTGGATGAGCACACTTTTGGTAACATAGGGGTGCGCCCTAGTATGCTAATGAGCTGTGCTGTCAGGGGTGTGGCCTAATATGCTAATGAGTTTCTGCTGTTGGGTGTGGTCTATTATGCTAATAAGTTCCTGCTGGGCTTTTTCTACAAAAAAGGCCCTGCCGAGGACACTTCGTTGGTGCAAGTTAACTGATGTTTTTCTCCGCAGGTCGATCCGGAGTTTGCAGAGGAAGTGAAGGAGAAAGTTCAAAGGTAGGCTGCTAATGTCATTGGCTGTCCCAGACCGTTTGGTCTGGTCAGGCGGTTCTCCAGCTAATGTCCTGTGTACACAATTTGGCGTTTCTACTCCGAGCGCTCTCGTTCCCAAGTTCCGCGCGACCGTGCTCGGGGGAGATCCATTCCTGCAGGGGCTTCCTTGTTACTTTCCATTTGGGGGAAGTGACCCACGTCCTCCTCCCGGCACTGTTTCCACAAAGCTGTCCGCAACATTGACAGAAACCGGCGAGCCCCTGTTTGTGCAGAGCGCCGTTGAACAGAACCCCTGTCCGTGCAGAGCTCGGCCGAGCCCGCGGTGAGATTTTGCATCACGACAATAATATACATGCGATCTGAGTCTTCCCCTTCTTGCCCTTCGGCAAAGGGAAATCGGAGCCCAGCTTTGCAGGCACTTTCTGTTTGGTGTAGTGGCTAGGAGTGCAGACTCTAATCTGGGAGAACCGGGTTTGATTCCCCATTCCTCCACATGCAGCCAGCTGGGTCGGAGCTGTTCTCTCAAGGGCAGTTCTCAAAAGAGCTCTCTCAGCCCCACCTGCCTCACAGGGTGTCTGTTGTGGGGAGAGAAAGGGAAGGAGAATCTAAGCTGCTCTGAGACTCCGAGTAAAGGTCAGGGTATAAATCCAATCTCCTTCTTCTCCTTCTCCTTCTCCTTCTCCATCTTCTCCTCCTCCTCTTCCTCCTCCTCTTCCTTCTCCTTCTCCTTCTAGATCAGCGGGCTGCTGCTTTGCTTGTTACACCAGAAGCAGGAGCAAGGACATGCAGATCACCCCACTTTCCTCTCCCACCGTTACTGCATAACCAGGCGTCCGAAGCCACGCCGGTCTTGCAGGGCGAAGGGGGTCTTCCTACAAAGCCTCCCTCGTCCTGCGAGGACAGCATGTCTTCGAACGCCTGGTTTCCCGATCAAACCGAGCGCTTTCCATTTTGTTTTTAACGGCCGAGGCACCTGATATTTGCAAGTTTGGGCCTCTTGGCAGTTAATTAGACTCTTATCTCTGAATGCATTTTAATTCACGTCTGATTGGGCACCGGGCCTGTTTGCATTTTCTCCAGGTCACTTGATTCTCAGGAGGTTTTTGCGTGTTCGCAGCAACTGAATGAGTGGCTGGCCAGACGTCAGTCGCCTTTCCTAGCAAATCTTTCTGCACGAAGGAGATCTGAAGCGAAGGCGTAAGGGGACCTGCCGTTGTCGAGTTGCCCGCATGCAACAGAACGTGGTGGGGGATTTCACAGTTCTGTTGCTGGGCAAAGGTAGCAAAACGAAGCCCAGAGGTTGTCTTTTTGGACACGTATCAAATCCTGCCCCAAACGGTGGCTTTTGTAGCATTTAAACTAAGCATGTTTCTAGACCTCATCGTGTTGAGATGAGATGCCAGCTACGCAAGAGGGATTAAAGATTCAAAAAATAGGGTTACCAGCTCTCGGTTGGGAAATACCTGGAGATTTGGGGAGTGGAGCATTCGGAAGGTGAGGTTTGGGGAGGGACTTCAGTGGTTTCTATTGCCGTAGAGAGCCACTTTGGTGTAGTGGTGAAGTGCGCGGACTCTAATCTGGGAGAACCGGGTTTGATTCCCCACCCCTCCACTTGCACCTGGCTGGATGACCTTGGGCAAGCCATAGTTCTGTCAGAGCTGTTCTTGGAAAAGAGCCGTTTCTGTCAAGAGCCCCACCTACCTCACAGGGTGTCTGTTGTGGGGAGGGGAAGGGAAAGGAGCCTGTAAGCCGCTCTGAGACTCCTTCGGGTAGTGAAGAGCGAGGTATGAATCCATTCTTCTCCTCCTCCCTAATGTTCATAGCTATATGGATCGATTCAGTTGGATGGGGGCATCAATTGGCATTAGTTGCATCAATTCACATTAATCAGAGGTGGTCTGGAAATTATTTAAATAAAAGGCCTCACTCACTCTCTCTCCCCCTGGTCTCCTCCCTGTCCTGAGTAAGAATGTGTTCTCATCCATGAGAGGGAAGGGCTGTGGCTCAGTGGTAGAGCATCTGCTTGGCATGCAGAAGGTCCCAGGTTCAATCCCCGGCATTTCCAGTTGAAAGGACCAGGTAGAAAGCTAATGTGGAAGACCGCTGCCTGAGACCCTGGCGAGCCGCTATGAGTGGACAATACTGACTTTGATGGACCACGGGTCTGATTCAGTCAAAGGCAGTCTCAGGTGTTCATGAGCTTCCTGCCATTCCATAAGATCAGATGGCTCTGAAATCCAATGTCTGAAGGCCAGTGGTCAGATTCAATTAATGTTTCATTGCTAGGGCGGATGGAGTGCATTTGCTACCGGCGATACCTCAGGAAGATCTCCACACCGTTACGGAAAACTGCTTTGCCGTGGTGAACAGCTCCATCTCGGAGGGGATGTCGGCCGCGATCTTAGAGGTAATCGCTTCCTCCTCCTTTGCTTTGGTCAAAACCTGCCACCCGTTTGTCAGGGCCTATCTGCACAGGTAATTGGGTTGCACTGTACAAAATGGTTTTACAAACTTGCTTGGGTAAACGATTAGGGACTGTGGTCTGTTCTGCCGCGTAGAGCTTACTGTAAGTAGGATCCCGTTTGTGTGATTTTTGTGCCGCTTAATGTGTCACGAGAATACTTACGTTACGCTTCCGTTCTTACGCATTGTTTATTGAAAGTCCCATTTTTGTTGACTGTACTGATGCGCTCTGTCACATCCGCCTCGATTTCCCTGGGAGAAAGTCAGGCAATAAGTAATGTCAATAAAATAAAGATGGGTAGCCGTGTTGGTCTGTCTGTAGCAGCAGAAAAGAGCAAGAGCCCAGTAGCACCTTAAAGACCAGAGGTCATTTCGGGGGGGGATCGCAGGTCCCCCGGGTGAGGTGCAGGGGGCGGGGCACACGACGAAGCCCCGCCCTGTCAGCGAGCTGCCATCTCTTTGCTGGGTTGCCTCACGTCCCTTTCTTCCCCCCCCTATCTTCTGTTGTTGAAGTGTTTTCTCTGTTAGGCATCTGCTGCAACCAAGGTCGCCAGCTGGTGAGAAGTGGGAGTTATGTCTTCGCGCTCATGCTTGTTTAGCTTTACCCGTGTGAAAGGAACTTGTGTTTAGGAAACCAGGCGTTACTTTCTCATGTAACTTCGTGCCCTTTCTAATCTCCCCGTTTCCAGCGGGAAGTAGGACCATTGGTCCAAACCTTGTTCAAAATCCCTTTATTATACCTGTACTGCTGACAAACGTCATTCCAATCAATTTCTGTGTATTCGTGATCAACCATGTCTTTGAAATAAATCTTGCTTTACTTTTGAACGTGGATCTATTCTCATGCTTGGGGATCTAACATTTTGATTGGAATCCACTTTTCCCCCTCACCTCGAATCTGACAGAAGTCATGAGCGGGGCAGAAGGGAAACCACCATCCCAGGCGGGTGATCGGGCGGACATCCCGGTTACCGCCTCATCATCGAGCTCGGTCTCGGTCAGCGGGGCTGTTGGGGGAGCGATCCCTCGACACGAAACCATCCCGTGGCCTCCTCCGACCCCATCGCACTGGGGCAGACGGGAGGTACGGGTTGTGGATGATTGGACTATGTTCGACACCCAGGGCACGAAAGAGACGTTTTCTCACCGTGGCAGTGGGCTCCGTGAGAGCCTGTTTGATCAAGGATTATACCCGGAAAGACCACGGAGTTGCCCTCTGGAGAGCTACCGAGACGAAGACGACTTTTGGCCAACTGAAAGGCCGAGTGGACTCATAACCAGCCGAGAGGGAGCGGGGCGACAGGAGAGCAGGGAGGAACGACTGACAGAGCTGGAAAAAGCTGTGCAGGAC